CGGAGGGTGCGTGGGGTGGGGGGGAGCCTTCGCCCCCTCAGGCGGGGAGGCCGGTGCCGGCCGAGGAGGGGCTTCCTGCGCCCTCGGTCGGGCCCCGCGCCGCACTGACGGCCGGCTGCTCTCCCCAGGTGCCCCTTCCCGCGCCATGCTGCAGCGAAGCTTCTTCAGGGCCGGCCCTGAGGGCGGCTGTTGGGCGGCGGGGGCCGCTTCGGCTTCTGCTCTTCTCCCCCGTCGCTGAAGAAGGGAAGGCCGCGGCGTGAGGACATGGCTGCGGACCGGCAGGGCCCCCCGGGCAGGAGGAGGAGGGTGTGACCGGAGGTACGGGCGGTTCCTGTGTCCAGCCGGGCTGTCTGCCTGTGAGGTGCTGGTCTTACCGGTCTGGGTGACCCCCAGGAAAATCAGGCTTAGTCCCCTGTCTTGCCTGCTCCCCCTCCCCAAGTTTCTGGGCCTTAGATGAACAAAATAGGCCCTGCTCAGCCACATGGCCGGGCACGGCCAGGGAGAGACCCGCAGGTCCCCTGGGCCCCTTCGGGTGCTCTGTGTGCTCCAGGCGCTGCTGTGCTCAGTGGAGGTGGGGTGCATTATAAACCGATGTATAGGAAGGTACTGGGATTAAGGTAAATACGGCTGTGCTCCCATTGAAGGAGGGGAGAAAATTGAGGGCTGTCACCTTTTCAGGTTTTGAGGGAAATGTTTTTAACGATTTGAGTAACTAAAGTGAATTTATTCAGCAAACGATTTTTTTTAAATTATGTTTTAATCTTCTGGTTTTCGTTAAGTGGTGCAGTTCACAGAGAAAGTTGTTTGGCAGTCAGCTGAACACTTGTTTGTTATTAACTGCATTCTTCTCCCTTTCTTTTTATTTGTCTTTTTTCAGCCTGGCAGAAGACAGAGGGCGAAGTGAAAAAGATTGCACCACTTGAAAAACCAAGGGTAAGTGGTGCTTACCACAAAGGCTGTCCAAGTAAGCTTCAGCCATCTTCTCGAAGTGGTGTGTTATATTTAGTATCTACACGTGCACCAAATACCTTTGTAATACTACTTTTGAGTAGGTGATATAATCCTGTTCTTGTAAATACCTGTAACTATCACCTTTTTCAGTCTTTGTGGGTTTTTTTTTTTCCAACCTGCCACAGGCGTTGCAAAGGTGGCTGGTGTGGCATCTTTGTGTCAAAAAGTGGCAGAGAGAGACAGGCTATGTTCTACGCTCGTTTGTTCTGAAACCCGTGAGCACTCAGAGTGATTGATAGCCTGACATTCTTTATAAATTGGCTGGTTAATGGGAGACTCTTGAGAAACTAAGCCTTTCCTATTTTTTTAATTGCCTTAAATGAGAGATTTGTATGTAATAGAATAGAAAAGTGCTCTGTTTGACCTGTAGTGAATGTCCAGCAGAAAGGCTGTGCATGGCTTTCAGATTATTAGCCTTGAAAACGGTAGGATCCTGTTGGTACGGAGACTTGTATTACAGAAGACTGAGTTGAAGTGATCCATCTAAAGCCACGTGGCAAGTTGGTGAGAGTACAGGGAGCACGTCCTGGCAGTCGCGTGCTGGCAGCCCCGGCCCTATTCCTATCTGAAAGTAAAAATACGCCTGTACTACGCATTTATTTCTTTAGCTTCCATTTCTGACTGGGCCTTTCAAATTTCTGTCATCAGTGAAACAGTAACCATATAACCAGACTTTGAAGCGTGTCTAAATACATAAAATAAATGCTGTATATATTTTCCGCTTTTTCAGAGAAAGCCATGTGATGCAGCAGACGCAGGAGGCTGCCTCGAAGACCTGAGGTGAGCAGCAGTGGATGCAAGTTCCCCTGTCGCACGGCTCCATGCCCCAGCTCGTGTTGCAGATGTGGCTG